CTACACGCTTACTGCGTGACCACCCTCCGTTACACCCCAACCACCCAGCCTCAGCCCGGGGGTCAGAAACATACCCACCCACTTCCTGCTTTCCGAATGGACTTATTGGAACAAGCTACTTTTTTCTGCCCCGAGATTGTTTGTTGGCTTTTTCTGTGCTATCTTAGACGCAAGTGCTTATCCAGGTCACTTGGACCTGCACAACCCTAGCTGGACACTCCTCTTCACTGTCTGCAGGGGCCTACAGGAGCCTGTTTGGCCATGACCCCAGATGAAGCTGCCACTACACTCAGTTCCGATTCCCGAGGATTCTCAGTCTCTGCATCTCCTGCAGGCTAAGCACATCCCCCCACTCTGTCACTCAGCCAGGGGGATGCTAAGGTGGCCCCTCCCACCTCTAAGTTTTCTAGGTGTGTGTGGGGGGGTGAAGGTCCAGAGACTTGGGAGTGGACGCATGGGAACAGAGATGGTGCACGTGGGCCACAGACTCTGATCAACAAAGAATGAGGCAACTCCTGGGTCTGATGTCCCCACAGGGTGCCGGTCTGTGGCCGGAGGGATTGTGAAACACCTCGCTTCTTACTGGATTCGGGTGCAGAAGGACAACCGCCACTTGTGTGTCCTCAGAGAAGGCTGTAGCGTGCTCTTAATCACAGACACCACCACGAGGCTTAGTGAAGACTCGCACACTCAGGAGAACAGTAGAGGTCTCAGGTGCCTTTGGCTGTTTTGCCCCCAGAGGTGACATTTTTCAGAACTCTCACCCTGTTGTTGCAGCCAGCGTGGTTGACAGTGAGGCAGTCAATATCTGGAGCATTTCTGACCCCCAAGGATGTCTCACAGGGTCCTCTCACGCCCCCCCCCCCACCACTCCCCATGTTCCCTGATGGCTGCCCGTTGGCCATTCGTTCCTTGGGTCTGTGCTTTTAGGCTGTAGGGTGTCTCTATCACTGTCTTTTACACAACCTTCAGTCCTCTGAGCTGGAAGTCCACTTTGTTCGCTCAGCAGAAGGAGGTCTCTCTGGAGAGCCCAGTCAGAATTTTGCATGTGTCAGTGCCTTTATTCATTGTTCTAGCATTCTCTGGTCTGGGTGAAGATATCTAAATTGTTTTCATTTGGAGGTCTTATCAATAAAACTTTATTGATAATGTGTAGAAGTTTCTTGTATGACAACGAATCTTCATTTCTCTGAGATACAGGTCCAGGAATGCCATCTAATGCTGGGCCGTAGAGCTTAGCATATATTTAGGGAGGGAGAGAGAGAGAAAGAGAGAGACAGAGACAGAGACAGAGAGACAGTTGTTTTGTTGGGGACCATACCCTCAGGTCTTATTCCTGGCTCTGCGCTCAGGGAATACTCCTAGCAGGTTCAGAGGACCATATGGGGTGCCAGGGATTGAACCCAGGCTGGCCTCATGCAAGGCAGATGGCCTACATGCTTCACTATGTTCTAGCCATATAGTATTTTTTGGTAAGAAATTGTCAGATGGTTTTCCAGCATGGCTCTGCCCTTCCGGGTTCTCACCAGCAGTATAGGTGACCATTTTCTCTGCCTCATTGCCTGCATTTTATCCTGGTAACTCGTGTGTGTGTGTGTGTGTGTGTGTGTGTGTGTGTGTGTGTGTGTGTTTTGGTTTGGTTTTGGCTTGTGGACACACCTGGAGATACCCAGGGGTTACTCTTGGCTCTACACTCAGAGCTTACTCCCAGCGGTGCTCCAGGGACCGTGTGGGATGTGGGGGATCAACCCTGGGTGGGCTGTGTACAAGACAAACACCCCACCTGCTGTAACTATGTCTCTAGCGCTGTTTTGTTTTGTTAAAACAAAATAGAAATGTGATAGGCCTGTGCTTGCATCTCTTCCCCAAATGGCTCTTGGTGTTGAACATCTTTTCTTGTGCTTCTTTGCCATCTGTGTATTTTCTTAGTGAAATGTCTCCTCATGTTTTCCGCCCAAGTCCTAAGAAGATTGTTGCTTTTTAAAGAGTTCTTTGTCTGCCCTAGATATTACCCCCAACTGAACATGTGCTTCATAAATATTTTCTCCCACTTTGCAGTTGTACTCTTAAAAAGATTGCCATTTGGGGGAGTTTTTAATTATGAATGGGCGTTAAGGTTTCTCAAGTGCTTGTTCTGCATTGATTGATAAGACCACATGGTTTTGCCTCTGTACTCTGTTAATATGGTAGATTGCAATGATTGATTTTTTTTTTAATTGAACCAGTTTATATACTGATCAACGTAGTCATTGAGCCTTGGTCAAAGGTTTTGGGGCCTCACCTGATGGTGTTCAGGGATAGCTGCTGGCTCTATGTTCAGGGATCACTCTTGACGCTGCTTGGGGGATCCTACATAGTGCCAGGATCAAACTTGGGTTGGCACCTGCAAGGCAAATAAATGCCTTAATGCACTACCTCTCTGACCCAAAACCAAGAACTTTGCCCCAGGCTACTCGAAGGCTTTAGTTGCTATTAACTGAACAGGAAAGACTGCAGGGAGAGCAGGCTTGGAGGCAACCAGGAGTCACTATTGAGCACTTGACATTTGATTTGTTTTGTTTTTGACTTTTTGGGGTCACACCTGGCAGTGCTCAGGGGTTTGTCCTGGCTCTGCACTCAGGAATTACTCCTGGAGGTCCGCAAGGGACCATATGGGTGCCGGGGCTTGAACCCAGGTGGGCCACATGCAAGGCAGAGCCGGACCCACTGGGCTATCGCTCCAGCCCCACGCTTGGCATTTGAGATGCCTCCTAGTAAAGGGGCTGTCACAGGCTTCAAGTTCAGCCTGTGGATCGGATCTGGGGCTGGAGTTACAAATTTCGGAATCACAGTTTTGAAAAGTGAATCCAATCATCTGGGGGTGGGGTGAGCACTTGACACTTGAGAAAGCAGGGAAAAGGTCTGAGCCCCATGTACGTAGAAGGCAGGGAGGTGGGGGAGCGGTGCTAGAGATGGAGAAACAGAAGCCGGAGAGACAGGAGGGACTTGAGAGTGAGCGCGGAGCCAAGGAAAGGATGTCCTTCAAAGAGAGGAGATACACGAACCATCACCAGGTGTTGCTGAGACCCCAGTAAGGCCCGAGAGGTGACTGCACAGCATTGCATTGGGAACTGTGGCCGATTTTAGTTTGGTTGGGGTGGGTGGTCTGATTGAACCGTTGGCACAAAAAGAGACCAGGTTGCTAGCATCAGAGGCTCTGAAGGGGTCTTCGCCAGTGGGGGATGTAGGAGCAAGTCCAGTTTTTCTTTCTTTTTGGTTTTGATTTTAGTATCACACCCAAGTATGCTCATGGATTACTCCTGGCGGGGCTTGGGGGACCATATGTGGTGCCAGGAATGAAACCCAGTTGCATGGAAGGCAAATCCCTACCCACTCCACATCCTTCCAGCTCCTCAAGACCAGAGTTTCATTTTTTTCTGGCAGGGGAAAGGTCGGTGTCCCTATGGGATCGATGCCAGTAGGGCAGCAAGTACAGGGATTTCGGAGAGGGAGCCGTGTCAAAGAAAGGGGTGCAAGAGGGGATGCTCACAGGATCTACTTTTGCTCCCTAGTAACAAGGACTCACCCACATATGCAGGAAGGCTGGTCAGTGTGGTAAGGGCACCAGCGGCTCTCTCTTAAGTTTTAATTTTATTTAGGCACTATGATGTGCAAGACTATTATTAATGACAGCTTCAGGCGCACAGTGTTCCAACTCCAAACTCACCACCATGTCAGGCCCCCTCCACCGTCACCCTGAGCTATTGCCACCTCCGTGGCAAACTGGTTTTATTTGTTCATTTTTAATTTGCTTATTACAGTGAGGGTCACGTGTTATAAACTCTTTTTCGACTGCTGCGTTTCATCATGAATTAAATACCAAGGATCAGTGGTGTTGGGTGGTTCGGAAGAGAAAAGGTGGTGGTGTCAAAGAATGACTGTCTCCGGGAGACAGCTGTGGGCTCGGTGGATGCCAGACTCTTGGGCATTGCATTGCTTCAGCTCACCAGGTCTCAGCAAGGTTCATAGAGTTTGGCAAGTTCCACCCTGCTTAAGCAAGCAATGTATTGGAGTCTGTGTTCCAGTCTAGAGCATTTGTGGCTGTCCATTGAGCATTAGGAAAAAAAAAAAATTTTAATTTTATAAAGTAGCTCACAATATTTGATTACATTTAATATTCGAACACCAATCCCACCACCATTACACCTTCTCACCACCATATTTCGGATGTTTCCATTCTGAGCCCCAACCCCTGCCCCAAAGCAGAACCGGAATAATTTATTTTGTATTGTTTGTTATGAAAAACCACTGAAAATGCCACAGAAATGTTTGCTTAGGGGAAAGAGTGTGAAGATTGTTGTATTTCACCCAGGGGTCATTAAGCCCTTCTATAAGAGATCGCTAACATGTTAAAGGTTGAACCTTATGTGATATATATATATATATATATATATATATATATGTATATATGTAAGAAAAATATTTCTCTCTAAGATTGGTTGCCTCTTACTTTAAACCATCAAATGTGGTGTGGTACTCTTGGAGTATGGGCGGTGTGAGGTGTGAGATGTCCAGGAATACGTTCACTTGTAGGTGAGACTCAGCCCAAGTGTGTGGAGAGCAGCCGTGAGCATGGCGGTGTTGAGTTCTGAAGCTTTTCATCTGCTGGGGCTGGGTCCCTTGGGGCGGGGAAGGGTCTCGCCCATCTCCCTCCGGGGCACCCCAAATGAAACAGTCTGACGCAGGGTCTGGCAGCATGGTTAAGGCGTGTGTCGTGTTATGCTCCCTTCCGGGAGAGAAGGACATGCCTGTTGAGCATTTTTGTCCTCACCTGCCTTTCTGGCCTCAGAAGAGGGGACAGCCGTGCACCTCATTTCAGATCGCTCCTCTAGTGAGATGTGGCTGACCCTGTACCAGCCAAAGGCGCAGTGATGACCTTAGTCGTCGGAGGGAAGCTACATGAAAATTTCCAAGTAACACCTGAACCCCTCTCCTCCCTCCTCTTGTTCCCTCCCGCGTAGGCCTGGAAGAAACGCTGGTTCATCCTGCGGAGCGGCCGGATGAGCGGCGACCCAGATGTCCTGGAGTACTACAAGAACGACCACTCCAAGAAGCCGCTGCGCAGCATCAACCTGAACTTCTGCGAGCAGGTGGACGCCGGCCTGACCTTCAACAAGAAGGAGCTCCAGGACAGCTTCGTGTTCGACGTCAAGACCAGCGAGCGCACCTTCTACCTGGTGGCTGAGACAGAGGAGGACATGAACAAGTGGGTCCAGAGCATCTGCCAGATCTGCGGCTTCAACCAGGCCGAGGAGAGCACAGGTAGGGCCGGCCTGAACCTCAGGACTCGCCGGGCGGGGAAGCAGACCGTAGCCAAAAGCCTTGCTCTTGCGGTTCCGGGGCGAGAGCATGAAGGGATTGACCAAAACAGTAGCAGCATCCCCCATCTGGGTTTTGCTCAAATGGGAAACAAAGAACATTGGAGTTGGGATGAAGCTGAAGGTCCTTGGGTCCTTGGGATGTTTCTTTGGGTACTTCAAGCATCCCCTCACCTCTCTACCCCGTACCTTTCTCCCACTCATCACCATGCGTCTGCTTTTTCCTGCTCTTCACTCAATATCTCCAGATGGTTACCTGTTGCCATCCCATAGAGCTGTGTGAACCTTGGTCCCTTCTCTGCACTTTCCTCATGCCCTCTCGTCCACCTGTGTCAGACTGTTCCAGGCAGTCGCACCTGCCACTCCTTTGGGAGGAATTTTGAATTCCTTGACGACACTTAACTCAATACCCATTCAACGCGTGAGTGAGTATTGATGCATTTATATCTGTGTATCAGTTCACTTAAACTCTTGGGAGAGGGGCAGCTGAGAAGCAGAAATACTGGTTCATCTCTGGGTGGTGTTAACCTTCACCGAAGAAGGATCCAGCTTTGGGGAATGAATTTCAAATTGCAGAAGTGGTGTTTTTTGACGCTTGTTTGGGTTTCTTTCCAATTCTGAGGTGACTGGGGAGCAGGTTCTGACCCAGAGCAGGCAGAGATCCTGAACTAGCAGTTCTTGAACCTGGTTGTGTAGAAGATTTTGAAAAGAACCTTTAAAAAAAAATTAGTGCCAAAAATAAAAATGACTGACACCCAGAATCATGCCAAACCAGCTGAGAATCTGAGAGGTGAAATTAGTATCATTCGTGTATGTTTGTGGTAGTCTGACTTTTAAGCAGACATGCTGTCTATCTGAGCACACAGTTGTCGGTAATCTTGGCTGTGTGCTCAGAGATCACTCCTGGAGGTTCTCAGGGGAACGTATGTGGTGCTGGAATCAGACTGGAGTCAGCCATCTGCAAGGCAAGTGCCTTCACCCCTGTACTACCTCTCTGGCCCTGGGATTAAGTCTCTTTCTTTTTGGGTGGGGTGCCACAGTGGACTCTACTCAGGGAGCACACCCGGTTGGGCTCACGGGACCATGCGGGGTGCTGGGGATTGAACCTAGGCCATCTGCATGCAAGGCCAGCACCCTTCCCGCTGTGTGACAGCCTCAGCATTTGTGTCTTTAAAGAACTTGTTTCTAAGGAGTCTAGGACTCAGCAGTTATTTTTTGGAAACGTTTTATGCCACATACAATCTGTTTCAGATTCCTGTTTTTTATCAAATTTCAACCCTTTTTAGCAAAATCATTCATAGCTCATCAGCAATTCAGAATCTTGGGAGAATCTATTGGAAATGCACATTTTTTTTTTTGAACGTTTCACAGATTTACTGAATTGGGAGCTTGGGGCTGTGGCCGAGTGGTCTGGCTTTTAAGACCCCCACCCAGTGATTGTTCTGCACAGATCAGCTGAAGACCCGCTGAGTCCCGGTACTCCTAGTAAGGCTGATGGAGCAGAGACACAGCCTTTGCTGGAATTTGTTAGAAAGACTGAAGTCTTTTGCTCAGACTTTTAGAACCGGCATCCTTGAAAGACTTCCTGTTCTGGAATATTTTTAGACTTCCAGAGAGATGCAAAAATTGTCCACATTCTTATATATCTCCCCCTAAGCCTTGCGCATGTTAAACTCCATTGTAACCAGTTATCAAAATGAGGCTCTTTGCATCAGTTGGTCCAATACTGCGATTAGATTATAGTTCATGTGAATCTTTTGGGGGAAAGAGGGCCACACCTGTTGATCCTCAGGGGTTGCTCCTGGCTCTGCTCTCAGGAATTACTCCTGGCAGTGTTTGGGGGACCCTATGGGATGCTGCGGGTTGAACCTGAGTTGACTGTGTGCAAGCCAGCACCCTACCTGTTGTGCTATCTCTCCAACACCAGTTGATGTGCATTTTACATGCTGCTTTTTTGTTTTTTGCGGGGAGAGCCAGTTAGGATCCCACTTAGCAGTGCTCAGGGCTTACTTCTGGCAGAGCTCAGGGTTGGAACCTGGACTGGCTGGGGCCGTGCTTTTCTTGCTGTGCTCTCTCTAGTCCATGATGGCTTAGAAGTTCATCCATTTTACATAATGTTTTGGTATTTCCCTAAAGTAAGCAAGGAGTAATTCCTGAGTGCAGAGCCAGGAGTAAGCCCTGAGCATCACTGGGTGTGGCCCCCAAAGCCAGCATATATATATATATATATATATATGAGAGAGAGAGAGAGCACTGTCCTCCCGTTCATCAATTTGCTCGAGCGGGTACCAGCAACATCTCTATTGTGAGTGTCTCTTGTTACTGTGATTGGCATATCGAATACACCACAGGGAGCTTGCCAGGCTCTACCGTGTGGGCAGGATTGTCTCAGTAGCTTGCCAGGCTCTCCAAGAAGGATGGAGGAATTGAACCCGGGTCAGCTGCATGCAAGGCAAACGTCCTACCCACTGTGCTATCGACCCTGAAAGAGCCTCCAATTGTTGGGAAATACGAGTAAGGAGAGGCTGGTAAAATCTCAGGGCTGGGACGAATGGAGACGTTACTGGCATCTGCTCTAGTAAATCAATGAACAATGGGATGACAGTGAAACAGTGAGATGTGTGTGTGTGTGTGTGTGTGTGTGTGTGTGTGTGTGTGCAATATTTATGCGTTACTGGGCCCGCTCGAGCAAATCGACGATCAACGGGAGGGCCTTTACCTTTTATATATATATATTGGGCTGTAGCGATAGCACAGTGGTAGGGCGTTTGCCTTGCATGCGGCGGCCTGACCAAGTTGGGTTCGATTCCTCCGCCCCTCTCGGAGAACCCGGCAAGCTACCGAGAGATCTCACCCACGCAGCAAAGCCTGGCAAGCTCCCCCTGACGTATTCGATATGCCAAACACAGTAACAACAAGTCTCACAATGGAGATGTTACTGGGCCCACTCGAGCAAATCGATGAACAACGGGAGGACAGTGCGACAATTCTACATATGTATTAGCAAGACTAAGAAACTCAGAATGGAAGAAATGCCAAGACATGAGCCCTAAAGGTGCTGGCAGATCTTGGATAGGATAATATTTGACGCATGAGGACAATGGTGAGAAGCAATGGTGAGAGGACCGGAGACTCAGGATGGGGGGAGGCACTGCCTTGCATGCAGCTGACCCGCGTTTCATCCCGGCACCCTGTATGGTTCCCCAAGCACCACCAGGAATGGTCCCTGAGCACGGAGCCAGGCATAACCCTTGAGCATCGCAGGGTATCGCCCCCAAACAAAACAAAACAAAACAAAACAAAACCCATTACGCTGAATGCAGAAGACAGAGAATAGTCTAGTCCGTGACCTTATTTATATGACATTTCCAGATCCTTAGAGACAAGCAGTTGGTAACAGGGAGGGAGTGGGGTGTAACTGCTACGGATAACAGGGTTGCTTTGGGTGACGAATGTCCTGGGATCAGTGATGAGAACTTGTGGCTGTAATTAAGAAACTGCTGAATTTCATACGCTGAAATGGTGACAGTTATGGAGTGTAAGTTATACCTCTGGTTTCGTATTTCTAAGTTCCTGGGGTGCTTTCAGCAGCCAGCTAGATTGGGTCCCCTGGGCTTAAGGTACATCCTGGGTACACAGTGGTACATTTCGTAGGCCAACCCCCCAACCCTGCCCAGGTCTGATACACCTGTTGTTCATCTGCAAGTCCTACCTCTCTCTAGCTTTGTAAGTTTATGGAACGCAACTGGGTACTTTGGCTTTTTTTTTCCCCCCTCAACACAGTGCCATATACCCTCATCTTGGCCCCAGGTCTGCCACAGAATTCCGTAGTGAAATGGTCACCACAGAAAGTCAGGTTAACCTTTGTGCCATGCAGCATTGCTGAAAAATCTGTTCTTTGGAATCAGGAGCCTTTAAGACGTCCTCTGTTCATGACTTTCAGACTTGCGTGGTCCAGGGTTGTTGAGAAAGTGACGGAGCCACACATGCTAGGCTGTTTCCATCTGACAATTGGAAGTCTGAACCCGCTCACCACCTCCTTCCACCCCATCCCCTACCCCTGCTCCGGGCTGCTCAGAACTGCTCTGCTTCTGTCCATTTGGTTTTGAAGTTTCATTTATTTTTTTTAAAGGGGGAAGGCTCCCTGGCCTGGGGACCATCCTAAACCTCTCTTGAAGTTCCAGGCTGACGCTGTACTCTCGTCCTGCAGTTTACAGCCACACAGCCGTGGCAGCCTCTCATTTGTCTTCCATGGTCTGATTTGTTTCACTTAATATAATGCCCCGGAGGTTTGTCTGTGTTGCAAATGGCAAGCTCTCTTCCTCCTCCCTCTGTAGCGGGTAATTTGCCATTATTTGGGTTACATTTCTTTTTCTGACATTTTAGTATACCTAACTTTATTTTATTTTAATTACTGAATCGGCCGCGCGACATCTTATCAGAACTTTTTTTATGACACCTTATTGTCTCATTACTACTTTGGACAAACTTGCAGGCTATCGAATGTAGCCTGCCCACAGGGCAGAGTCTGGCAAACTCCCCGTGGCGTACCAAATATGCCAAATACCAGTAACAATGATGGGTCTCATTCTCCTAAAGAGCCTTGAATATAATCTCAGGGCTAGGATGAAAGAGACGTTACTGGGGCCTGCTCGAGGCAATCGACGAATAACAGAATGATGAAATGAAAAAAAAATGAATCACCACGAGGTACAGTTGCAGACTTTCAAACTTCCGTGCTTGCGTTTCTGTCATACAAGATCGAGTACCCATCCCTCCACCAGTGCCCATTCTCCACCACCAGTGATCCCAGTATCCCTCCCCCCGACCCTGCCTCTAGGGCAGGGCATTCCCATTTGTTCTCTCTTTCTGGGTTACATTTTTTTTTATCCTTTCATCCACCTGTCCCCAACCACATCATGGGGTTGGTAATTGGCAGCTAAT